AAAAAAAAATAATAAAAACCAAAATGTCTTTCTTAGGTCACAAATATTTTTCTTATAATACACACATAAAATCAACTGTAATAATGGTCAAACAGGCCCCAACCAGCAAAATTGTCAATTCTACTAAGTAAATAGTCATTTCACAACAACAAAATGCACACAATTAGCAAAGACACAAACCCAAAGCAAAAACAAAATACACGTAACTATTTTAATAGTTGTTGGTCAATTTTACCAAGCAAATTTTTTTGTGTGTAGGTAAATAATATGTGACTTTTATGGATATTTAGGCAATTAAGCGATTACTGATTATATTATTGTAGCTCAATTTAAATCAATTCAAAAAATGGTTTACATAATATTTAATTATACCCCCGGGCCTGTTCATTGTTTATTGTTGATAAACAATATTGTGATTAATTGCATGATTTAAAATGTTAGTAATGTGCACAAAAAATATCTATTAAATTAATAACTTTTTTCAACTCTTAGTTTTTAAAATAAAATTTTAATCAATGTTTTACTTACTTATAGATGGGCTCGCCGTCGCCCTCGCGGAACCAAAGGACCATGTAGACCGCATCGTCGCGCTCCTGCGGCGATATGTCGCATGGCAGCATCGCCTGCCGCCCAAGGACTCCTTGCACGGTGGTGAGCGGAACCGGTCGGTCCAGATTCTGCATGAGTTCATCCTGTTCTATGTATGTGCCGAACACCTGGCTGATCCCAGACAGCATGAGCAGGGGAAGGAGCAGCTGCCTCCAGGCATTCGAGCTGGGATGGAAGGAATGAGGTGGCTGAGTGGCCTTTTTCCGGCAGTCCTGCTCCCGATCGTCCAGGTCGTCCTCCCCTTCAATCAGTCGGCAAACTACTTGGTACGTTTCCTCGTGATGCATGATTTTCGGTTTCTCTTTTACTCAAACTTATCGCTGGCTAAGACTTTTCCTTTGACCTTTCTCATTGCCATTGATAGATTATCGCATTTTCATCCATGATGCGGAATTTGTGGGCGAACGGAGGTGTTTGGCTGTCCTTTGGCTGCACAAGGCAATAATTCAAGTCATTAGTAAGTGCTAAGATTTATAGAATTTAAGTGCTGATTTATTCTATCACTAGCTTGAAATAAGACAATAATTGAACATTTTTTATGAAAATTCAACGCATAGCCCTCGCTTTAAAGAAGTTATTTAAATATTAGTCTAATTTAGTTGATAAAAATAATAAAAACAAAATATTCATCGTAAACGTAAAGTATTTTGAGAATGCACAATTACTTCTTTCTTAAGTAACATTCCCTTTACAGATTTATTTTTGTCTGACATCAAATATTTGGCTATGGAAATTATTTCGTAAATTCCTGCCTGTCACTAATGAAACTAATAAACTGCACAAAAGTATATCAGCTTGAATTTATACATTTGGGTAAAATACGAATAAATTTAAATGTATGAAATGAAGAGAATATTTAATATATTCCGTACTCGGCTAGTTGAAAATAAATGTATATGCTCCAATTTTCTGGACTCTGACTGGCCAATGGGCCTTTAAAACGGACCAATTTAAACGAACTCTTAAATTTATGTGGCCGTTGTGAATAATTGGAACGCATTATAGTTGCGGACCAGATAGCATTAAGGCTTATACCTTCAACTCCATTTACCTTCAATGGCAGAGAGATATTTGGAATATTCCTGGAAGGAAAAGCAATTAAGATATGAATCGTAGCATTAATAAGCCCCAATTCAAGCGCTCAATTTGCAATGAAAGTGTTTTACGATGCATTCAAAGCATAGAACTACACGATCGAAATGATTTTAAAACTTTATTTGGTCAGCTTCAAGGGCGTAAATTTAAATTTAAATAATTTTTCTTATGTTAAACGTGGCCATTGTCTGCCGCAGCTCAATTAATAACCGCTGTCAATTCCATTCATCTCGCCAATAAATCAAAACGTATTTAAGCGAACAATGCGTTCTGGGCTCAACACGTCCCACTCATTTTGGCGCATTTATAAGGTCTCTTAGAAAGTCGGTTAAGTGTAACTAACAGTTTTACTGAGGTAATCAGGATGCCCGCAGTATTCATAGCTCATCTAACGAATGAGGTTCTTAACTCACAGCCAGGTGTTGGAATTCATGACGCACTTGCGGTCGACTCACTCAATTTGCGGCGCTGTGTGTCAACGTAATATCTTTAAAAATGTGAAGTCATTTGTTTGGCACATGGCTGACATTGCCAAAAACCGAAAATCAAAACTGACAGGGCGAGAAAAGTGAAGTGAGCTGTGCTGTGGATTGTGGCCAAGAAAGTATGGTCAGTTGGAGTCGTAAAATGTGATGATGGTGATGATAGCCGGAATGCCAGGCATATGGCCAAGATGCCCCCATCTACGGACAGAGATCCCCCTTTTGCGATAACAAAGGGTAAAGAGTTATGGGTCTTTCGCTAACGAATATCTGAGATTCCAGCCAAGTGGCATAGCTCATGCTCATATGTCCACTCAAAGTTATGGGCCTAATGCCCCTTTATGGCCGTTTAATGTTATAACTTAATTAATTATTACGATATTCCATTTCCCCCGGGTCGAAAAAAAAGAGCTGCTCATAAATATGTGCCTGCCGTCCGCAATTTGCCTATGAATGTGATGGACAAACACTTGGCGCAGACTCGAGATACCCTGAACAGAGGTCTTACGACTTCTTTAAAAAACACCTAAAAGTATAATAAGTATAATAAGAACCATGGCAAATAATAAAATATTCAAAATAAAATTCAAATACAATCATATCAATCAACCCATGCCCATTTAATTACATATGTATCTTTTAAATCACCCAACTACCTTTATTTTGATGGATTTCCAAGGGTATTCGTGGAGCCCTTTTGTGGCCCTTTTAGTTCTGCCTTTGTTGGCCACATTTGGTCAATTCCAATCGAAATACTTTGAATGCTGATGCTGAGCTGACAAACTGACCCCACCAAATCAAACCGGTTATTTTGAACGAACTTGAATTCTTCGCTATTTAAAATTCATTAGCTTTTATCTGTTTTTATTGCCACATAGAATAAACAATGGATGCGTTGATTTATTAATTATTTATTTCGTTTTTACTTAACAAATAATGAAGTAATATTTTCAACGCACAAAAAGCGTTTGTAAGGCAAACAAAGAGCTTTTCCATTTGTTTGTTTGATCGAAGGTGTCGCTTTGAATGTGGAAAATGCTGGCAAACAAATCTCAGCAGCCCAGAGCATAAACAGGATTTTGAGATTTACACCTGTAATTTCAATTTCCCGTCCGCTGCTGGCTGCCACTTAAAGTCACTAAGCGATTTCTAATGGAAGCAATTAAACCGCCAGCCCCCGCCAAATATATTACCCTTTCTCCTCGGCCAGCGGAGAAACACGACCCATCCGCAGAAGTCGTAAACTTGATTTCCTACACTCAGAAAATGAATCGCCCTGAATTTTAGAAAATCGCCTATGGATTTGCTTCACTGGCGATTTTTTTCTTTAAAATAAAAAAATTTTCTACTGGTAAAGAAAATTTTCTTCCAATTAATCAAAATTCATTAAATTCAAGAAATATTCCAGAAATATAGAAAAAAATCGCCAGTAAAGCAAATCCATAGGCGATTTTCTAAAATTTTTTTTTGAGTGTATGCACTCAAATCGGTGGCCCCATGGGCGCTTTGTTCGCACATGGAGGTGCGAATTTTTCAGCCTGAAAGCAGATCAAAGATATTTGCATACTCCGAACGAACTATAACTAGGGATGTCGTACGACTATCTGGGGAATGGGGATGGGGAATATGAGGGGCTATGCTTCCTCAACGGACTCATCGTCGGCATTAATAAGTATAAATAACTCTTTGATGGGCAGCCGGTTGCGAGCTGGCCGGCGACTTAAGTTTGTTTAGTTTGCTGGCCATTTGTACAAAACACCTTTGGCTTCTACACGAAATATGACAAGAAATCAACCGAAACCGGTTTCGGCATTCGGTGTAATGTGATTTTTGTGAGAAATAGCCAGAAAAAAGCCCCCAACACTCACAAAAATATAGTGAAAAATATTTTTAAAACTAATTAAATAAAATATGAAAAAAAAGGTTTTATTTTGAAGGTTAAATAATGATAATAAACAATATTTATTAATTTAATTTTAATACAAAGATGATATCGTGAGGAAAACAATTGTGATTTAATGAGGATGAGTAAGCTCAATTTGAAAACCCATCATAAAATGTATTCTTTTTAACAATATTTGACAACTTAATAGGAGTGTTTTTTAGAAAGACAAAAAACTGGTTGCTTTTTATTATGAAGCCATATAGAAAGGAACCAGTTTTATATTAATGATTTTCTATGTCGATTCTTAAGACACACTGACCTTTATTAATTTCAGTAAATATTATGTTTAGCATTTATTAAATCCCTATTTTTTTCAGTGCTTAGAAAAACTGAGGAAAAGACAGCGGTGTATGAAACGCCATGCTTGAAATGCTAAAAGATGTTTGTGGGCCCTGTTGGCTGGCCGATGTTGTCTCTGTTGCCGGTTGCTGTGGTGTTGCTAATTAAGATTACAGACATCGATACTTTTCGGAAAGCAGTGGCACGTACACATATAGCATATAGGTACGTATACATATAACCGATTTGTGAGTGAAAATGAAAAGCTGGCCAGCAGCTAAAAGGCTGGCAGAAGGCAGAAGGCAGAAGGCAGTTGATAGCTCACCAAAGTGCTACATCAACGCCAAGTGACAGCGATGAGGCTGGCTCCTGGCTTATTAATTATGTAGCTTAATTTGCGATTATGCAGATATGCATGAGCATAAATTTTCAGGGAAATAAGCAGCCAGATAACTCACCTGCTAATGTATGTGCATATATGCCGAGCCGATTTCATTCAATATTCCATGTTGTTTTTATTGCCCTGCTTTAGTTTGCTTCGCTTTGTTTGATTTCGATTTTGGTTTGGTAGTTTGTTTTTGTATTTTTTGGCCAGTTTATTCTGGCTAGTTTCTTCTAATGAGCCAGAGACACGCCGTCTGTATCTGCGATGAGACCGAAAGATAGATGGTTAAGAAACTCGAAGCTCTTAACGAACTCGAAACTCGCACAAAACCGACTCCGACTGCACTCCTAATTGGCCAAGATTTACGTTCGCACCTCCTTGCAGCAATTTACTTTTGATTTCGTTAAGCTCACACTACTATCCACACCACCATATATATATATGCACTATGGCCAAGTGTAATCAAGTGCCGCCGAGGATCTCTCGAATCTGCTCTCGTTTTGACAACTATTACCATAACAAATCAGCGCGCCTGCCACTGACAGGGCCAATTGAACTGAACCGCACGGGGAGCGAGGACAAAAAAATATTTACACGGCACCCGACTATCGCAGGGAGGCTAAGGGTTAAGGGGCATTCGATTCGGGATGGGTAGGGGATCAGGGAGTGGGAGTGGGATTGGGAATGGCAATGGGTTCGAGCACGAGTCACCAAACAACAACGACGACGAGCCCGTGCCGTGGCTATATCCTGGCAGCCTTGTCGTCCTGTAGTATTCTGCTGGTTTCTTTCTTTCTTTCTGCTACTTTTTTCTTTTTTTTTTTATGCCACAGTCGTAAATTCCAATTATCGACGAACTCGAGGCACGGCACCGCAAACCGAGCAGCCAGCCCTTCCGTCGAGTGGAGAGCCGCTGAAGTGGTGGCAACTGGAGCCAAAGCCAAAGCCCAGCGCTCCAGTGGAGTGGAGCGATTTTCAAAGTCAGCCGCGGCAACGTTTGTTGCTATTTTAGTCTGCCGGGATTTTCATAAGATTTTTTTAAATATTTTTTTTGTTTTTTGTTGCGGCTAATCCTTGAGTTTTCAGGCGGACAAGTCGGGCTGTTACGGTTTGGGGGTTTTATCAAACAAAATTTAAATTCTTCTTAAACAATTCTTTATGTTTCAGGGCAATTCTTTCCGTTTTTAAAGAAATTAAATAATAGAAATAATTTATATAAATTTTCTATTGATAAAATGTAATTCATTGAGTTATTAGCTAACAGTTTTTAAAGAGATTTTTCTAAAGTTAAATACATTTTTATTGGGCAATTTGTTGAGTAAGTCATTAGGTTCTTTAAATATTCCACTTAGCTAATTTAAATAGTTTTTTAACACCGGTTTTATGGGTAAGTCAGCGATTTGCATTGAACATATTTTCAGTGATTGTGTTTCTGGTAAATTACAAGGCCTATTCGAATTTCGAGTGCTGGAAACCGGCAAGGTTAAACCGTCTGCGTTGCATTACCACTTGGCCATTTGCTGGGATTATCGTTAACTCCTTGCGGCAATGGCCACACACTTTTGCGATTGGTTATATTTCATTAGAGATAATTTGCATTTATCACTTTCGACGGTTTTCGGGCTTTCGGTTCTCGGTTTTTGGGGTTTATGATGGTTTTATTAAGCACTTGGCCACTAAATCCTGTATCCTGAGCACAATGCCAAACACCTCTTCTACTCACACCGATGCGGATACACTGGTAGTGGTGCGAACTTCGCCGAGAACACTTGTGTGGGTGCGAGTGCGCGTTGGTGTGCGTTGCGTTGCGAGTGTGTGAGTTAGTTAGTGTGTGTGTGAGTGCGAGGGAGCTCTTTAAATGGAAACCCTGAAGCGAACGGATTGGGCTACATTTCCACTTGGACCGCTCGCGTTTTCCGACAGCAACATGTGTACCGTTATAGCTTCGCGTATCTACTGGATACCCATCGTCGGCGTTCCACTCGTCGATGCGTTTTCCTCGCGACGTCTGCTTTGATTTGAGTTCGAATTTCGAAATTCGGCAAAAGAGCCGAAGAGAAGTTAGAGCCGAAAGAGAGCCGAGACCCATCGAAACTTGGCATACGATATTCGGTTGGCTTAACAGCCGCGTATATCGTATTTACCATCGGGTCTTTAAAGTCCACTACCAAAAACATAGATTGACAAATTTCCCCTATTCCCGCTCGCCTTCCTTACCCCCCTGACTTTGTGCTTATTTATGCGTAAAGATTGCCCCTCAATCCGGAGATATCCGCTACGATGGGCGATAAAAGTTGTCGCTGTAAAAGTAATTAGAGCTAGACACGATTACACCATGTTCCATATCGGCAGCAGATACTCCCTACTTAACAGATGAATAATTGTTTTGGCAAACATTCGAGCAGCTCGCCGGGGATTAGCGAAAATTGAGATTGGGAAAGCAGTAAAAGTTAAGACTGAGTCCTGATTATAGACTATAGGGTTTCGTATTTAATATACTCTTTAATTTTAAGGAAAATATTAAAGTAACCTAAAATGTATATTTAATTGTAATACCAAAAGCATCGTATTTAATTTGTTAGGTACGAAAATATTGATTACTTTGTATATTTGATGTACATTTCCTTCTTTTAGTTATCATTTACATTTATTTTTAATTTAATTTATTTTTTTTAACTTTTTATAGCAAACTGTAAAGTAGCATGCTAGAAGATATTTATTTTTCGATTTATCTAATTAGTGTGTTTAACCCAAATACCTATGGAGAGAGGAAGCCAAAGTGTATTCCCAACAGTTTAACACTATAAATTCCAAATAAAATAAAACAATTTCCCAGACTTGACTTTATTGCTGCTTTTCGAAATAATACAAGTAGTAAAAGGATTATTTTGGTTTAAAACTGAATTGTTTGCTTACATTCGCAACGAGTTAAGATCTATCACACCTTCATGTGCAGCATATTAAAGCCAAACCAAATATTTTTACGCCCTGGGAAAATGGGGTCTGTCGGAAATGGTCTTTGCGATGAATAATAATCCCCCAGACGGCCAATTGGAAATTAATTAAATCGAACAATATTTGCTCGCCTGAATTATTCACTTATCAATCAATGTGTTTATTCTTTGACGAAACAAGTCCATAAGTCGCTGCGGCTTTTCAAGTGGATTTCCATAAACTTCCCGTACATGCATGAGGGATCTATATGCGGACATACAATATATATGGTATATTTGCGGCAAAACATTGCGCCTTAATTCAGATTCGGGCCGAGCAGATGTTATTCATCATGCGAGTGCGCCATTGTTGTTCTTTATCAAGTGATTGATGCGCAATATCCACACAATTTGATGCGGAAAGGAAGTAGTAAGAAGCGCCCGAGCAATTTGCGCCCGGCCAAAACCAAAAAGCCAGGGAAAATTCCCCGCCGAGTGCAGTCACCTGGGAATGGAGATGGAAAATGGGGAACGGAGAAATGGGGGATCGAACTCCGTTGGGTGCCCTGTGCCCCGTTGCCCCCCGAATCTCACACCCGATTTCAGGGAATCTGCGTCGGGTCGGTGCCGTGCTGGGCATTAAATCGTTAAAGTAACATATACAAATTAATGCAAACAAATACACGAGTGCTGCATGAAATGCATTCGACTGCCAGCCATTTCTCTCCAATGACCTGGGCGTTCCTTCGCTCGTACGTTCGGTGGTGCTCCAGATCTTGTCAATAGTTACGACTTTCCGATGTGCCACGGAATGCTAAACAGATCAAAAGCCTGGCACGTGAATGCGCCGCGCCGCTTCGCATCCCCATCTCCACATAAAAATACTCAAAAAGTCCCGAAACTCTCTAAACTCCCGAAAAACCTGGACTGACAGCCACGAGGTGTGAGAATTCTCAAGTGAGATGGCAGTGCACTCAGCCCCAGAACGCAGCACACCCACCGCCCACCGCCGCCCACTCGCAGACTCCCTCTTCTAATACACTGGGGGAAAAAAGGGTCTCCAAAATTAGATTGACAAGGATTAATTCCCAAAACGAAACACTGGAAAATTATTTGTTAGTTTTCACCTTTATAAGACAAGTTTTAACATAATTTAAAAATATTTTCATTAATTTAAATAATGTTTTCAATTGAAACGTAACATTTTCAAAGAGCTAAATTTGGTGTATTTGAATTGAATAAATTTCTTTAAAATAGATCAGAATTTTAAAGCAATATCTATAAAAAATTAATAATACATGGGTTTTTTTCACATCACTTACTCCTTTCATATTATTTTCTTCACCAGAAAACATTTTCAAATAAAATATATTTTTCCCAGTGCACAAATACCAATCTGCAGCCGTAGCCGCAGTCACATTTTCCACTTCCCACCGACTTGGCTTTTATTTTGGACTTAGCACCAGGGATTTGTGGCTATTTTTGGCACCGACTGGAAAACTGGGAATCTGGGAGCTGGCCCATAAAATAGGTGTGGTCATATCATCAATAAATATTCTTTGACGGCCGGGCTGTTCAATAAAAAGAAGAGCAACGAGCAAATTAAGAAGAAATACAGGGAATGTTTAGAATTGAACGGAGTTATGCGGGATGCAATGTAAAAATAGCGAGCACGTAAACAAACCGCGCACCGCAGCGAAGAGATACATCTGTGTGTGCGGCTAATGGATCGCGTGCTAGAATAAATACATAGATGGGAAAGGAACAACTGCAAGCGATACTCCGGGGGCGATTCCAAGGAAACTCGAGTCCATTGTGTATTGCTGTGAGCTGTGTGCATTTCCAATTCCATTCCATTCGCATTTGCATTTGCCGGGCATTCGTCATGGGTCTCATCAGCATCTGAGAGATACTTCGGGGATATCTATCTATCTATGCAAAACTGGGGAGAACGGAGAACCGGGGGCAACTTCAGCTTAAGCGTTTAAAATCCCATTTCCACATGCCTTACATGTGTTTTCCTCTCGGCTCCACATTTATTATACCAATCCGCTGGAGGAGTGTCTGCGACTTTGTGTTTTCTGGCTAATTTACATACGAGCATGCCAAATGTTGGCTTTGTTTTTCGGTCTTCTGTTTCTGTTTCGGCGTGTTTGCGCGTTGTTTCTGACTAACGAATTGCTTGTCGAAGCCAGCAATTAATGGCAGCATCGCACCGATGACTTAATGACAACTTCCTAATAAAAGCCAGAAGAATTTAATCAATTTATTAGGCTCTTACAAGGCAGATACATGCGATTATTTGGCCATTAAAATTAGCATATCAATGGTGGAGGCCTACAAATTTCCACATTGGTGGGAGGACAACCAATCCATAAACATGCCATCAATTAGCATGGAAATCACACGTTCGATTGAGTTATGGAATCGATGGGAACTGCATATTGAATGGGTTCCTCGGATGGAGCCTGACCTTGTGGCTAGTATCTCTCTCTTTGAGGGTATCTGCATCTCTCGGCCACTCGAATCCCGAATCACGGGTTGTTGCCGTGCTGCGGCTCATTAGCGTTTATGGGGAATGGATTCCGCTTTTGCCCCGTAGAGAATACCGCCGAAATCTATACATCGCATCGATTTATCGCTGCCAACACACACACACACACTCGAATTCCAACGAAGCCCCCGGCTTCATGGCCAAATACGTGCTTAACTGTAACATTTCAATTTGCAATTTTCGACCCGCTGTCTGTCTATCCGCCGGTGAATCCGTCTCCCATCTCCCCTAGTCTGACGTTCTGTCCTGGCCTGGTTTGTTTGTAGGTATGTCCGCTACGCACTTGCCACGCCCTGCATGCTAAAATGTTTTTCAAACATGCAAAGATCACTGCCACAAACACAATCGCTCCTCCATTCACATAAATACGGGGTACACTGCGAAAGCCCGAATAAAATAAGATGGAACCAGAAACAAAATTCCACAAATTTTAAACAGAACAGAATGTGTTTCTTCTTGCCTTCAGATTAAGCTAACTATCATTAAAACATTATCTTGGGTTTCTAGATGGAAATTTCTAATTTACACTTTTTTATTTAATACAAGTTATTTAGTAAGACTCCTTAGTTATTGAAAGTGTGTTGATAAACTGATATAAAACTAATAAAACCTGTTCGTTACACTTGGAAATTGTTGAAATAATCTAATCCAACCATATATTTTAGGGACAAGCTTTATGCTTACAATATTATAAGCAGGGACCGTAAATAACAGTTATTTGTGATTTTTATTTTAAAAGGCCTACTGAGATTTGTACAAGTTTTAATCAACTATTTAACTGGTTTTTATGCACTTTATAGACATGAACAAATAACAGTTAATTTGCTTTCCAGATTTGTTGAAATGCATATTCTTTGTGGACAAGAGTAAAAAGAACGTTATTTTTGACGTTTAAAATCAAATATCACAGTAGTCTTTTTAAAATAAAAATCACAAATAACTGTTATTTACGGTCCCTGATTATAAGACTTAAAGCATCCTTATTATGTACTTACAGTTTTTTTTTAATAAAAATACATAAAAAAAAAATATAAATAACGAAAACTCCCAGAACTTTAAAAAATAAAGAAAAGGTGGTCTTCAGAGTTCAAATGAAAAGTAAGTATATCACGAAAATTATATTAAACAGGGAACGTAACTGTTATAAGTTTTATTTTAAAAATCTCACTTTAACAGTTATTTTCTGATTTGTAAAGTAAAACTCAAAGAATAACTGTTATTTTTTGAGTTTTATAATAAAAGTTGACAAATAACAGTTATTCGTCGTGATCAAAATAAAACTCAAACTTGATTTATGGCGATTTTGTGGGTAAACAAAATTTTAAAAAAATATAGGTATAAAATATGCGCGGTTGCCTTTTTTAACAAATTTTTAGTAAGTTATAAAAAGCACGGGTATTATGTTTTTTTTAATTATTTCATTTTTTCAAAAATGTCAAGGGAATAACTGTTATTCATAAA